CTTTTCTCTGCACATTTTATGCCTTGTTAGATATCACCATAATTTACTCAATAAACGCACCGAATTCTTCAATTGTATGGTCTTTCATCGAACATGGCGCCACTAGGCTCAGACTCAAATTCCATGCCACACTAATTAGGTTTTCGTCGTATTTTTGACTGTATAGGGACAAACCACGTAACTATACACGCAACAGTCTGTTATGGAAACTGGACGATATCCAGTTACCTTTCTCGAATGGAAAATCCTGAACATCGTTCGCTTGACTTGGAATTAATATGCTTTGTGTAATTCTAATCATCAATATATGTCAAACAGAGGAGATTGGGGCCTTCGTTGCTATACTGAAATAAACTTATTTTTTAACCAGGAAACCAGTTTGTAAACTGTTTCCGTAATCCTAGAGTACTGCTTCTTATCATTTCATATATATATGTATATGTGGGGACATTGTGGTGGAGGACGTTTGTGGAGTTAAATCAATACAGGCGGGTGTTTGGAAGGCGAAGATTTTGCAAACTAGCCATTTTTGCACTTGTCGCTTGCGATGGAAATAATGCTCAATAGATAGATGTAATTTGTAGGTTCTGCAATGCAAAATTCTCTGCTCTTATGCGCATATTTCAGTTATATGCTTTCAAGGTTGCGACTTTCGTTGTCGCTGGTTGACACCCAGTTTTAGTTTTACGGTTTATTTACTTATGCTGCGGTAGGAGAATTATATTATACAAAAGAAATTCTACAAGAATGGCATAATCATTCTGCGCACCATAACTTTACTTCGGGTTCATGTTGGTGATCGGATCAAGTTATTGACTCCAACGTTTCAAATTGACGTGCAACGGGGGTCAGAAAACTTGGCTTTTCCCATTATAGGTAAGTTTCATCCGTAAATTTAGCGGCACAGATTCGAGGAACAAACAGCATCTGCGTGGATACGACACAAAGCGCTAGCTGGATTTTGCGTGTTAACCAAACGGGATATGCTTGGGAATAGGAGATCGCTATATATGGAAGCAACCGGTGGAGAAGGTGGACGACTAGTGTTGTTACAAACTGCATCTTCTTTAAACCGGGCTGCACTATGTAATCCAGGGGTCGGCAACCTTTTGGCACTCGCGGGCCAAATGTGAAGGCTGCAATTACTGGCGGGCCGGACATATTTTGGCGATGACGCACAACCTGAACTTAAAGCTGGTACACATACTATGTTGAAGGTTGTGCGCCACGTTTGTACACATACTTCAGGAGCAGCCATATTTTTTTAAGAAAGTTATAAACCGAATGGGTTGTTTATTAATCACATTTTTACACAGATCAGAAATTGAAATTTTAGATTATAAATAGCGAGCTCTGTGACGACTCGTGAACTCAAGTCGCCGTACAGGCAAACAAATTAGAAAGGATATTTAATGTGACACTTGTTGTTGCATTACGCTTGATAGCTTTTCGACGTCAGGTGACACACTGGATGAAGCCAATATCAGAACATCTTCTAAATGGGCATCACTAATACTAGTTCTCCGCCTGTTCTTTGTAATGTTCATTTTTGAAAATAATTGTTCGCACGCATATGTGCTTCCAAACATCGATGTGAATTTTTTCGCATGGTTTATCAAATTCGGATAGATATTTCCCTCGAGAAGATACTTTTTATAAAAATCAACCAGTGACACATCTCTCGAATAAAAAATGGATTTAATTTCCTCATTGCAATGCATCTCAAGAAGCTCCATTTGAATATTTTCTGCAACTGTTTCTACGTTGACATCAAACGGAGTACTAAACAGCCTGAATTCGTTTTCAAGAGAACGAAAGTCAGCAAAGCGGGAGGAAAAATCGCTTTGTAACTCCCGTATTACAGAAACAAACTCAAAGTTGCTTGTGGGGTTTCTTTCTTAGAGTGTGTTAAAGTGAGCGTAATTTGCTTTTTCCAGTTGGCTCTCCCAGAGGCATAACTTCCTTTCGAATGCGAGTATATGTCTCCACATCTGATGTACGAGCTGATTTTTCCCCTGGAGCTGCAAATTCAGTTTGTTTAGATGGGACGTTAAACCAACTAGAAATGCCAGTTCAGAGAGCCATTTTGGATCGCGAAATTCAGGAAAATTCTTATTTTTGCTTTCAAGGAATGACGCTATTTCATTCCTCAGTATATACACTCTCTCTAGCATTGTACCCCGACTAAGCCAGCGAACGTCGCAGAAGTAAAGTAAATCGCCGTATTCGTTTTCTGCATCTGAAAGCAACTGACGAAACTGGCGATGGTTCAAGCCTTGAGATAACACAATGTTGACAGCTTTCACTACTGTATACATAACACCCTTCAAACTCAAAGCTTGGCGCACAGGGCTTCTTGGTGAATCAGACAGTGTATTTTGACGATGTCGTTGTCAATTCCGAGGTCACTTATGTGTTTTTGAAGTAGAGCTGAGACGCCTCGATTCTTACCTGTCATTGCCGGGGCTCCATCGGTGGTTATTGATACCATCTTTGATAGATCAAGGTCCATGTCTCCAATGCATAGCAGCAATGCGCTCAGAATGTCAGCACCTGTTGTAGTTCCCTTCATGGGAACTAGTTGGACAAACTCCTCAACAACGTCAAAAGCTTCACTTACTCCACGCACGAAAACTGAAAGCTGAGCGGTGTCTGCCGCATCTGTACTCTCGTCAATTGCAATTGAGAAGAATTGTAAGTTATTGATGATATCCCTTTGACGACGCTTCACATCCCTTGACATTTCTTCTATTCGCCGAGTCACGGTTCTAGCAGAAAGGTTGATATTTGAGAATAACTTTTCCTTATCAGGAGTCAGGACATACAATACCAACGACGGTCATCAAGCATTCTTTCACAAATTCACCATCTACAAAGGGCTTCATGTGTTCTGCAATTAATTTAGCCACCTCGTAACTAGCAACAATATTTTGTTCGGTTTCGTTGTGTTGTTTGTGGAAGAAAGAACTTTGCTTTTCTAAACTGTCTTTTAACTGTTTAATCTTGTCCTTCCTCCTTTGGCTATCTAGTTCTGAAAATTTGGGATGCTTTGTCACATAGTGGCGTCTAATGTTACATTCCTTATTGACAGCTATAGATGCGTAGCAAATCAAGCAGGTAGGTTTGCCCAAGTGTTCTACAAAGAAATACTTTGTCGTCCACGTGCTATTGAACCCTCTTCCCTCAGCATCAACTTTCTTGCGCTTTGTTGCCATTCGCCTAATTATAATTATATTGCTGGCTCAATAAACCTGTTCACTAAATTACTAGGTTATATTAAAATTTAGTCCACTTCACAATAAATTCTGTTACATAAACAAAACAGCTATGCTCAAATATCCTCTTCTAAGCGAGATATTTTATCACCAATTCCCCGAGAATCATATGAGGCAACTTACCGGTATCGGGATATTGTCACAGCTTTTCCGGGTCCTGTGACAATGATCTATTCTTCATAATTCAGTTTTAATGTGAATTGAAATACCAAGTGATCTGAGTCACCTCTATATTTTCAGATCAAGTACCACAGCCTACCATTACCCATAAAATCATTTCCATAAATCATCTGCGCTAACTTACCAGTCCGGTTACGGTACAAGGACTGTCATGCTTTTCCAGGCCCCGTGGCGATTACACATTCATTTTATTAAATTTTAACATGTTTCACCAGTTCAGGCCCCACAGTCTAACGTTCCCCATAAAAACATTCGCCCACTTTCGCTAATCACGAGATACACCGACGTTCGCTGAGCACGAAATCGGCAGATACGCGTTCGCGGAAACGCCACAAGGCGGCAAATTTTGGAGACGAGTCGTAGCACACAAAAAACGAATCCCATAGAGCTCACAGAAATAATTGAAATGAATAAAATACCGTTTAATTAATGAAGACCACATAATAACAAAACGATCCATAGCTCCGTGTCTAATAATCTGCTCCTCGAGGGTAGATTATTAAATTAAATGGTGAAAATTCACCTTTTTGCAAAATTCACAAATTCGTCGTTTTGTCTCTAAATTTTGGTGAAGCGTCGCGGGCCGGATTGCGTTACTCCGCGGGCCGAATCCGGCCCGCGGGCCGTAGGTTGCCGACCCCTGATGTAATCGGTTGTGGGATGAGCTGTAGTGAGTTCTCAATAAAGGTCACAGCGTGTACGACTTTTACCTGCAAACATAAAATCACCGCGATGTAATTGCGAAAACCGCGGGGACCTGATGATAAGTGTAATGACGGATTATGTACAAAAATTAAAAACAATAACATTTTTGAAAACAAGCAACAACAAGCATTTAGCAATACAATTTATATACAGTATACACACGTCGTGTCCGAAAATGAATAGAAAATCGGTTTTGGCTCAACACACCTGGATCTACAGGCAAGGCGTTGATGCTTAAAAACCAGAAACGCAAAGCCTCTGTACAAATTTCTATATATATATAAATACATTGATATTCAACATTCATTATGATTAGACATTCTCCATCCGAGTCAGTTGATACACAATGAAATCTCTGTTATTTATGGCTTTCATGTAACATTATATTTTGCTATTGTCTTGTTGTGCGTTGTGTAACCCAAGTCATCGTTATGAAAATATTGATTTTTATTTATGCCTTTCCGTATGATAAATCTTTTTATTTTTAAAGAAGACTCGAGTAGTACGTTGGATGCTGTGTTGAGTCAGGAATTATACATAATGAATCGTACACAATTCAACTAATGGGTACACTCATGGGTTCTGAAGGAATAAATGTCAGGTATATGTGCTGGCTGTGCATTTTAGGTCCAAAAGAACTAGGACCGAGCACATGTGCTGTATTCTTGCTTATGGATATGTATTGTGTATATAAAAATAAATATAGAATTGTTGTTGTTTTTTCGGTGTCCATAAATGCAAATTTGAGGTGTCCCAGAGTCATTGTATTGAATAGAAAATATATGCCTATAGCAATTCCTATATTTAAATAATTTTATTGTTTTTAAAACTCTAGTTCAATTTATTATGTCCAAACTTTTTGAGGGAATTGTCGATCTTATCCATATTGAAATGACCACAAAAAGTCCAAGATTGAGTACATTGTTCGTCGTATTGATACTTTCAAACCCATGTTTCGCTGTGGACAATACTCTTGTAAAGGGTTCTACTGGGACAGCGGTTGTGGAGTCATGTGTCTCAAAAATCTACGCTTCAGGTGAGTAAACCGCTTTACTTTGTATTAACTAAATATTCTGCATAGAATGTGTTCACCACAAATTATCAACACGGCGTTGTGGCATTGCAATTTTTGTAATCGAATGATGTTGTGGTTAAGCATAATAAATGTAGACAACATTTTGGTTTGATTTGTCATAATGAAAGTCATATGTAGGCCTACCCAATTAGATACGATCATGGTAAAATTTATTGCCTATCACATTAGTATTTTTATGCTATTTCGGAATAATTCTTTCGCCGTCAACGCATTAGTGGAACGTTATTTTGCGGTGAATCCACCACGCCCTTCATATTTATGACGCATTATTGGAATTTTTAGCAGTGATACCAGCGTGCAATAATTTCATATTCGGGAATATAACATGGTTTTTCGCCAAACCCACCAGGCCATGCTGATTTAGAATTGGAGCGAACTGCCATTTTAATGCAATACGTAAATCCTATATATACTCGTACACAAGCTATAAAAAGGTTAAAGAGGCATATCCCGGTTTGGTGGTATAAAATTTTCATGTCATTCATTCACTTATGTGAAATAAGGGCTTTTGCCATCTCTTTTGCAGGAATTTTCAAGGAGGATTTCAATTTGATACGCTACTCGGCATATGCTGACACAAAAGACGGAGCCGAACTTGCTTCACAAAATATCGGAGGCATCTGGGCTGTAAATAAATATTTTATTGATCAAAATCATGGTGTTGGGGGCTTGGGGCATGGATGGGCAGATTTGTAATGTTCACCGAAAGCTCTATATACATAGATAGATTTTCCATATATGTAGAAAATTGGTATAATAAACAATGAATAATATTAGTGAAGGATGAACAATGGGGTAGGACGTAAGTCGTAACGGTGACCGTACATTTGAACCAACGTACATTTGAACCCATGTGTATATCCGCGGTTTCAATCTATATGCGGGTGCTAAAACCCATGGGTTAGTATGGGTTCAGATATCCGTAAAACAATTTTTTTTACCATAGGTACAATAGTATGCAGGTGCAATTGTCATGGGCTCAAATGTACGTGGGTTCAAATGTAATGGAACCGTTCGTAACGTTATGCTTTGGTGAATTTTATTGTCTGAAGTATGGTCGACTACTTCTCAAGTATCCGTAAGGAGCTAGCTAATCAGTATTCAATCCAGTTATTATCCTATCGCATTCGACTACCAGTTTTATACACAGAAACGATAGAATTATAATATTACCAATAATATAGCGTTGCAGTCGCAACATTTTGTCCAGTAAACTCGTTTAAATACACTTAACACTGATCGATTCGTTTCATTCAATCTTTCAAATAACAGGTCAACAGCGATGCATTCACAGCAATATCAGACTCTACTTATGATGTTTCATCTTACTATTCTGGAATACAAACTTCTTTCAATATTGATTGGACTCAAGTAACCTATGCTGATTTAGACATTCCCTTGTATTCAGCGATTGCTCAGAGACTACATATTGCCTATTGGGAAATTGGTGACACTCTTCAGGATGATATCGACAACTTGGTAACTAAACTATTTATAGCTGTATGGCTACGTTTTATAGTTTAGATGGGTTCTGCTGATCTACTTTAATTTTTATTCACAATTCCTTCAATTCCAGGGAATTTGGTGGGCCATTTATCTCCATACAGCTGATGAGAATATGTTAATCTCTGATTTCACAACAGCGATCTCACCCATTCTAACAGGTAACTATGTATTATTTTATGCATCAGATACCAGACTTTGTCCAATAAATCGTAATTACACAACCAGCATTGCTAACATGGTGGTAAGAAAGCCTACATAAGTTACCAAAACGATCCCTTTCGTGTACGCTGATGGTTATATATCAGTAAGTATGCTAAGTATGATTACTTAGAAGCATTCGATTCTTATCCGATTCCTAAATTGTCGATTCTCGATTCCTCGACATAGCTTACCGAGAAAAAATACCCACTTAAACAATACCATATGAAATCAAACACATGGGCGATGTTCAAATATATGCACGCGAAAGCCTAATCTAAGTAGTATGGATATTCCACCTGTCACAGTCGACCAAATCACACAAACAAACAAGAGAGCAATGCTCAAATATATGGACACACAGACCAATTCCCCAAAACTCATATATATGCGGTAACTTGCTAGTACCTGTATCGGGAGACCGTGAATTCAAAGTCAAACCGCGAATGTCAATTCAAATATCACATGATTTGAGTCACTTCTGTATTATCGGATCAGGTACAAACATTTCCCGTAAAAACGTCCCAAAATCATATGCTTCAACTTACCAGCACCTGAATCGGGGTAGAAATAACGGTACAGGGACTTTCATAGCTCTTTCATTTCCTGCGGTAATGATCTGTTCTTCTCCATCCAATTTTCAACGGGAATGGAAGTACCAAGTGATCCGAGTCACTTCTCCATTACGGCACCAGGGCTAAACAAAAAGAAAATATCGATTCCCCGATAATCATATGCGGTACGGTACGGTAACTTACCAGTGCCTGATATTCGTTCGCGGAACGGTTCTTCCTTGTCATCAAGAACTCAATTCATTTCCTCTTATCAAGAAAAAAAAAATAAGGTAGGCTACAGAATTTATGTTGTTCACATCAGAACTGTAACGAAAAGATGAGAGCGTAATTCACAGAGGTACCGTACGGTACCTTACCTGTTGCTGTACTGTAGGCCTGCTATTCGAGCGTGGAACGGTTCTTTTCTGGCCTTTAAAAACTCAATTCAATTTGCTCTTATCAACTCAGCAGTACCGTACCTGCAGGCTTGATCACGCAACCGCTTGAAATAAGTTTAAAACAGTGTTCCCATGAGTAAATTTTAGAACAGCAAAATTTTGAATAAAATATCAGATCTCATAGGATTCATAGAAAATTCAGTACTAAAATAAATAAAAATAATAGCCTTCTGGAAAAAAATCAAACTTTAACCACTGAAAATTTCAAAGCAATTGGTCCAGTATTCGAAGCGAAAGCGATTTTATAATGATGATGACGAAAAATAGCAATAACAACAACATATTATTGAAACGGTCGTTATGTCGACTACGTGTCAAAAAAGTATCCCTTTTAGCCCACAGACATTTTTGAAATACATAAACGCAATAGCCTTCTAGAGAAAAATACAATTTTTAACCACTGAAAAATTGGTGCAGTAGGTAATGAGAACATATATTTTATCATAATGAGATCAAAAAAATGAATTCTAACAATAACAACATAATAAAAAAACGATCTATATGTCCACTTAAAGTTAAAATAATTACTGTCATAGCGAAAATTTATTGCAATTTAAAAAGTTCAATTCGTTCACATGTCTTCCTGTGAGTCTGGATCGTAATTTGGAGACGATAAGCTCCGCGAAGATTAATGCCCTTTCTGATGCAGCGGATGTTGCTGGGACACAGAGGTACTTTTGGGCGACAACTGTGATATTTGATAAGTTTTTTTGTTGCCGTTGGCATGCGTCCCTCATTCGCGCAAACGAGCGAGTGAGAGGAGATTGTAAAAATATAATGAAGTTTCCGGCGTCGTAGCAACTCAACATAGCAGTTTATACATGTATGTGAAGGACTTGAGACAAAACGTTATACCGTGTTTGCAACCAACTTTTAACCCTAAGAATCGATTCCAATGCATCGAAATCGATTCCACTAATATATATATCAATGGTATATATCAGTGGTTCCCAAACTGAGGTGCATTTACCGTTAAAGGCGTGGATTAGACTGAGTATATGGATATATTTTTCGTAACTTTTATTCCCGACAATAAAAATTTGAATACATGAGTTTAAAAAGTCTTTGGAAAATCACATTTTACCCTAGTAGAAACTTTAACTACAACTACAGTAAAATTGAAGTCTATTTTCGCAGTTCACATGACTTTGTCCAATCAAGTCCATGCTTCCGAAAAACAAATAACTAGCTAACTAATCCCATACGCGACCTGGACGAGAGGCCGTGGTTCGCCATATGATTAAGCCGTCTTATCGGCTTTCCTCTCCCCCGGGGTAAATATGTAATCCTATCCTATCCTTCAACACTGAAGCAGGTTTAGTTTAGTAGCGCAGTAAAATATGAAAATTTTGTGGGTAAAAAATTGCCCAAAGGCTACCGATTAACAGAAAGTTTGGGAAAACCTATTCCATATAATAATTACTATAAACGTCGCGACTGCAACCATTACATATATATATCATTATATTCAATAAAAAACTGAAATTTCGTTTCGTTTGAAACACAAATAAATATTCATGGGTTTAAAATTACGGGTGCAAAGGTCCATGCGTGAAAATTACGGGTGCAAATGTTCATGGGTGCAAAATATTTGCGGATGATAAAAAGTGTGGATGCAAAACCCTGCAGGTGCAAATGCCCTTGATGCAGTTAATGAAGGCAAAGGTAATATTTATCGAGTCCTGTTTATCTATGTGTTTGCTGTCATGTTCGGTATATTACTGGTCCGATCAATTCAATTATATGCGATCAAGCTCAGATTTTTGTAAAATCACTCACCGTAAACATGTCGGTTTAGTTTTACTAAATGTTTTATATATACCAATATACAAAGAACTACTTAGAGCAGTGGTTCCCAAACTTTTTAGAGTTGCGACCCACTATTTATTACCACAGCTTATGGCGACCCATTTAACTAAATTAATAAAACATTGATGGAGGAAACAAATTGACATAACACAGAACACAGCAATGGCTAATCATCGCAAAACTACCGCGTTTCCTCGAAAATAAGACCTGGCTTGAAAAAAAAGACCTAATTCGAATTTTTAAAATGATTTTAATTAAACTCTACCAATAAAATAAATTTAAAATGTGTAGGAGAGGAAAGGTTCAACTACCTGAGGTAACCACACCACTATTCAAGATTGTGTGATGTCACAATCACAATTATGATATTTGTCACTTGATTTTTGTATATATATAGGATAAAAACAACGGATGTCGGTTTTTATATAATGTTCATTAAAAAATCTCGTGATTTTCTACAATGTAATTTTATTTTTGATAAAGAACCCAAAAGGCCTCTTCCAAAGAAAACTAGTGTTATTCTTCAAAATAAATCTAAATCCTGTCTAAATTTTGGGGAAACACTGTAAGAAGAGCTGTACAATGTACAAAACTGCTATGCGTAAAAAATTCACATGGTCATTCTTTGTGTAGCAAATTTTGTTCCTCTGAGAAGATCGTAAAAAGGAAACTTTCAGAGATTAGAATTTTACTTCAATTTAAATTTTTTTTTCGAAGATTTAAGTAATCGAGTCGGCACCGATCCTAATACCCAGTATAATTAATCAAAGCTTTCCACATCTTTTCACGACCCACTAAGATTCCTTTGCGACCCATAGTTTGGGAACCGCTGACTTAGAGTAATTGATGCAAACATCAGTATTTCTAATAAAACATTATCTTCGCAGGTTGTTCAAAACCACAAAGAGATGTTGTATTTCTTATTGATAGTTCTCTGATCAGTGGAGAGACATATTTTACCAGTGCAAAAACTATTACGACAAACGTCATAAAACAATTGAAAGTCGATTCAAATCCTAACACTACGGTGGTTGGAGTTGCCCAATACTCGAGTCTCGTAGAGGTGAGTCAATATGCCTATATGTATGTTACTGATTTTTATTGTAAATTTTTTTGTTTGTTATTACTCGCATTCCAATAAGAAATGTAAGTCAAGGTTTGTAGCAGCCTAAACAGGGCGTGATGTATTGATAACGTTGCGGGAGCAACGTGGTGGTGGCGATGTGCGACAAACTAATATAAAAATGAATCACCTTGGTACTTCTAATTTTTGTTTTTCAAGGTTGCAGCATATCTCAATGGTTCTGCATCGGAAGCTGATATTGTATCTATTGTTTCGACCTTGCAACTTATTTCTGGATCGCGTATGACCGGTTCATCCGTTTCTAGCGTTCTCCCTAGTGTCTTCTCGAATACAAATGGCGCCAAAGGATGGGATACGGGCACTCCGCAGGTTTGAAGAGTGCACCGTATTAAATGCAATATTGCGCATAGGTATAAAAAATGAAAAATAAATTTAAAAATCATCAATGATTACATTCCAGGTGCTCTGTCTGCTTACAGCCGGTGACAGTATTGACTCCATGGAAAGTGTTGCATCAGCAGCTTCGTCAGCGGCCGTCAATGTTATTGCAGTGGGAATGACCGGTGCTGCCACACTGGTGAGTATGTAACAGAGCTACTGTAATACCCATGAACCAATTCGACGACATTAATTTTATTAAAAAATCATTTTTTTTGCAAACAAGTCCCAACAACTGTCACTATTGATTCACAGCATTGGATATTGCGCATCACTTTTTTATATTATTACTCTAGGCTGAGCTGAATTTGACAGCAACAGCGCAAGTCACTGACCATGTGTTTCAACGAAGCACTTTTACGACAGCTACTGATATGGAGTACGCCATTACACGGCGGATTTGTGCAGGTGAACTGCGACCTATCTATGCTTCGAAGTTGCGTATACATGTTTATGAATGAAATGCACAAAAGTTATAACCGTTTTATTTGGAGCGCAAGTTTCAGGTTACATATAAAATTCATATTCAGGCCAATAACTAAATCACGATCTGAAGGTATTCTTGCTGTCATTACCAGGTAGCAGGGAAACCATTAGTTGTAAAACGCAAGAATATTTTGAATAACCTTATTGTTAGTTGCGGCTATCATTATATCGTCCGGGCGAAAAGTGCAAAATGATGTATTTCCGACCACAAGATAGCCTTACTGCTTCTGTTGTTTTAGTGAACATCAATTAAAAATTCTACTTCATGTTTAAAGTTGTTGTCTCATCTTAATATTGTTACTATCTCCATGCTTTGCTACTTTTCAACAGATACTGCTCTTGTACCATCGGATGCAACGGTAATTTCAGGAACCATCGATCCAGGACAAACAAGGTAGTATTTTTATCGCATTCCGGGGCGTGTTTGGCAGCAGTCAAAAATCTATATTCGAATCTCGGTCAAAATCTTATGGATGGGATATGGTGCTGTTAAAATTATTATATATATATATTGTCATTTTTATATATATATATATCGCAGTTTGTTTGTTTTTGTACTATGTAATTTACTAAGTACCGTAGTTCTTGGATTCTCAAGCGCTCTATGTAAAATAGTCAATATGGGATATGGTGTTGTTGATATTAATATATATATTGCAATTTTTTTTATATATATGTCGCAGTTTGTTTGTTTTTGTACTATGTAATTTACTAATTACCGTATAGCTCTTGGATTCTCAAGCGCTCTATGTAAAATAGTGAATACTAGAAACTAGAAAGTTTTAACTCGAAAATCTTTATCCTCCGAGCACTCTAAGCATTTTATAATTCACAGATCAATTAGGTTGCTCGTAAATTCAACTGGAATCGATACTAACGTAGCAACAACACAGGGAACGATGGATCTATATTACTCGGCAATCATTACGGAGCCAACATCTGCCAACTACGATTACACGTACACTTTTTTTAAATTTCTATAGTTGGTTTCATCACCTTTATTAGCATGATAAGTGATTTAAAATATGCTTCACAATCAAGGTTACGCAATGTAGAACGGTTTATTAGAATAAGCCAAAATGCCAGCCTGCTACAACGAACCAATGGCGATTGATATTGAAAATAATTATGCTATGCTCCGTAGGTCATTAAAATTCACAAGTTTAGACTCCGTTTTTCTGTAGAACATGAACAAGTCGCAAGCCTATTTTTGATTGAGAATTAAAACTTGATTGAACTATTTGAAAAAATATGTGAAACTCACGTACAAACATAGCCTACATCAGAACTTCAGTAGCTGCCGTGTTTTCCCGAAAATAAGACTGGGTCTTATTTCAATTTTCTTCCGAAAAATAACACTAGGGCTTATTTTCGAGGGATGTCTTATATTTTCATTTATCAAAAACAAAATTACAAAGTAGAGAAATACAAAGTTTTCAAATATACAAAATATGAACAACAATATCCATTTACTTATAAATATTTTAACTCAACGTTTTAACTCAAAATAACTGCAAAACATAGATTATCAATCATTTAAAACGTGTAGGAGAGATTTCTTGCTATCGACTAGTACTAGGTCAAAAAAATATTCGCGTTTTCGACTACATCTTATTTTAAGGGAAGGGCTTATATTAAAATCATTTTCAAAATTCAGGCTAGGTCTTATTTTCAGGGTAGGTCTTATTTTCGGGGAAACACGGTATATATAGTACACCTGGAATAATTCAGAGTAGTAATCTCCATTCGAAAGATACGAAGAATCACCAAAAATAATTTGTGGCAGTGTCTATGTTATACCACAACTATATCCTCGGAACTTCTGAAAACAAACTTATAGATACTTTTAGTAAGCAAGTGCTTATTAATAATAAAAAAAGGAATGCAGGGTAAAATGATGTACATCTCTTATAAAAATACGCTGGTTTAAATAAAAAATTTTTTTGTATAAATATCTTTCAGTTTATCAGTGCCCAGTCCAAATCAAGAAGTTCAATTTAAATACGTCCCGACTCTTGAAGAAGTAGACCATCACGGCGGCGGGGACACAGTGTATTTGTATATCACGTTGCAAGGTGATGCATCCGTCTCGACTGAGTTTACCTTCACTATACAAATTCAAGAAGGTATGTTGATCTATCATACACTATTTCATTGTTCTTTAATTTAAACCTATATTCACATGACCGTATTTGAGGAATGTGTATACACTATATCGTTTGCTTGTGTGACAAAGTTTCATATAAATAAACAATATTTTAAAATATTATATGATATGCTTTTGAACAACCCCTCAACAACGTGCCGCATATAAATGTAAATCTTAGGAAATTGAATTGCTTTGTGTTTTAAAAATTCTCTCCGACTATGAACCAATTACTTTTTACCACAGTTGTCACGGTAGTAGTGTCTGTGAACAACAGCACAGCATTACCAACCGACTCCTCAAGTAGCGGTTTGTCAGAGGGAGAAATTGCTGGAATTGTTTTTTCATGTCTTATCGTATTCTGTGCTGTGCTTGTTGCAACTGTATACTACAGATTTGGAGGTTACGGGAATAGGATGAAAAAATCATTGGTGAGGAATTGAACGCAGCAATATGACATCTATATAGTGCAGGCCATTTGCTGTGAATTGTGATGTGACTTGTGTAACCCTATTACCTAAAAAAGGCTGTGCAACAGTGATTTCCCCACACCCCTACAGAGGGTGAACACAGAAATTCCACACTCTAATTCCTAATTTGGATATACTGTATATAATTGTATTTGAATAGCCCGAGGGTGGCGTAAACACTAGTGCACACTTTAATAAGCTACAAATAGTCGTATCGCTAATAGCAAAATATCTACCACCCCCAAATTTGGACCGACCAATCAAACCATGACAACTTTATTATCAGGACTGATATAGCTATTTATACAACTATTTATGACACTGTTAATGTTATTCATATTCAGATTCACAGAGGCAGAATAGATCGTCTGATGGATAGTAGGTAAGATACATCGCATAAAAATCATTTTGATGTGTTAGTGAAATTTAGTTTTTCATATCTCTGTGTTTGTGCTGTCATTAGCCTGTTTTAGGTTTGAACGACTTAAATGCTTAGAGAGTTGGAATAATTGTTATTTATCAACCAGTGTTCAATTTAAAAGAAAGGGGCTTTTGTCCAATTATTTTAGAACTGCTTGCAAGAATTCCCATGTCATCTATAAAATTTATAACCTTAGGTCATCCCTTTTTCTCCAGCAAATCTTTTTGTTGACTACTTATGCTCGTCGCTCCTGACAAGTCAATATACACACGTATGTTCAGCTTTTTTGGATCTTTTAGAACACTCATTAAGTTTGTCAAAGTCCTCGAGGCATTGTTCGACTCTAGCATCAAAGATTTTAAACCAGAAATCTTCCTCGATTCTTGTTTGTGTATTTATATTTTACGATCGACTTGTTTGTGAGTTGTAGCAGTCCTGATACCGGGCCATCTACAGTCAAACAAATCGAAAGAATAGAAACAGGTTTCAATCAGCCTGTACCGCTGATGCAAGCACAAATGCCGAAAGTGACTGAAGAATCGACTCCTGTCGAAGAAATCAATTTGCGTCCAGGAGATGAAGATACGTCCGAAGAAAAAGAGAATAACGAGGAGTAAATTTGTTAATTTTTCGCGGTGATCGAAAGTCACGATGTAAATTAATGACGCTTAAGTTTGTCGCGTTTGTTCTGCCTAAAAAACATTGAAAAATTCTTCCACGTGACAATTAATATTAAAAATTCAATTTTTATTATTTAGTTTTTTGTTGCTAATAAACTAATTGTATGTTGAATGCCGTGGGGTTTTGAGATTAACTTATAATATTACGCTTCATGAGTGTTTGTACTAATTTATTTAAATCAGTGGACAACTGAGATTGAATGGGGAATTTCCAGCAGGGTAAGTATTTAAGTTAGCTAATTCTAATACAATTGCAGGTATTAATGAATCAAATTCTGAACACATAATTATTACAAATATAAAGCCAGTAGTTGTCACAACATGCTAGTATTTAACGAGTATGGCTATAGAGCTTAACCGGATAATATATATATGCGTAAAAGTTGCTTTGTGATAAATATGTTTGATATTGCGTTGTATAGTAATCTTAAGACTTCTGGTGTCAAGGGTCAACCAATGTGACTATTCCTACACAAAATATAAACGGTCATAAACATTGTTTAAACGAAATTTGCTCAAAGGAAGATCCCACTCAGTCAGAAATATAGGAGATTGATTTTCGAGCGAAATTGCGGGCAGCACTAAAATGCCAAAAGTTACAGAGACTATGAGGAATTATAGTGCAGAATTGCGCGGTGGTGAATACCAATTGGCGCGAGACTAAGGTTCGAGAGGTTCGAATATTCAGAATAACACAGTCTATTGAAATATCTGTAACATATACACAACGACACAATTTTTCGTCGATCGTAAAGTGTTTGCAGCTTGGAAGTCAATCATATAATATTTGATATTGTTCTGTACAGTCGGTTTATTACGGGCGCAGGTACTTCAGCCCAAATATAACATTAATGCTTCGTATGGACGTATATATTAGTGATTTCAACAATTCAAATATCGGCGAGCAAAAAAATAAATGTAAATCAGTTCCGCACGTCAACCAAACTGATAGATGGCTTGTAAGGATATTTATAACTGACTGTTGTTGCTGCAATCGCGTAACACAATCAACAAATGAACTAAACTGCAGTAAGAGATACGTTACGCTTGTGGGTACGGTATTCAATCTTCAACATATTCCGCAAGCTTTCTAATGTTGTTGCGTCTTGCGAGTGTTGGGTCTTATAAAAAAAATTGTCCTGGATTGTTGTTGTCAAAGTGATTTCGACTGACCAAAATCACTCTAAAACAGTGTTTCTCACATTTTCATGATTCGTGATTCTTATCCAAATCTTCCAATACTTGTGGCCCCCTGCCGTACTATAAAAGTTTTTGTTTTGTTTATTATCGAAGTTCCTTCGGTTGTTTTATTTGCCACGTTTAATAATGAAAAAAAAAAACGAAAGCATAAAATAAATAAATGCATTATAGTCATAGAATTAAGCAAATCAAAATTTACTTTAAATTAATGTAACCGCGAATCTGGTGAAGGACTCTGCTCGTGGCTCATAGAGAAGCGCTCCGTGGCTTCCTCAAGGAATTCAGTGCCCAGTTTGAGAAACTCTGCTTCACCATTTCGTATTTTTCATTGTAACTTATACAAACATTGATATTTATCTAACAAAAACTCCACATTCTCCATTTATATTTCCAGAGAACAACAAAAACGTCTGGAAGTATCCGTTCGGGATCGACTGCAGAGTGCTATCAAAAGACGAGATATGAACGATATATCAGATGCTGTTGAAGATTTTATGGCTTTGAGAATGGAAGACTATACTGGAGATTTCGTAACAGCTCAACGGATGCTTGTTATACAGCAATGTAAAGAAGGTGATGTAGTTCATGTATTGCTTAGCAATCTTGCTAATCATTGGGACATATTAAATAAAACTGTCAATGAAACTTCGTGAATGGGAAAACAATCTATATAGGAGGACTCCGATGCTATCGGAGAAAACGGTTCTAAAATGTGCAAACAGAAAAGAAAACATTTTGAAAGACTATTTATACTCTACAGGTATTACAAGAGCGATAGCAAGCAGAAATATCAAATTACTAGAAAAGGCTATTTTCCGTGGGAAAAGAATGGAATATGATATAGAATTGAAAATGGAACTAGTGAATGCTGAAATACTCTTGCAAGATTTGAAAAGGACAGACGTATGAATTTTTCTTTTCTTCCTTATATTTTCTATGAGAAATATTTTTTGTTATCCACCATAGTATTTCATAAGTTTGAATAAATACGCGCATTCCGTTTCTTATCGTGTGAAAAGTTATTTTATTGAGGCGTATAGGCCTACTGCCTAAATGCCGAAGGTCCGTATCTACACGACATTTTCCGGCGACCAAATTGGTTATGGAGCATGCTAGTTGTTTGTATACAATGTTTTAAATTACCTCCAAATCAAAATCTGAAATAACAGCTTCCGATATTTTATCAACACGGCAAATTTTTGTAAACCTAGAATCTTTTGAGACGATTGAAACGGGCGATGGACGCCGGTGATCTAGCAGCAGCTGAGGCTATTACTGCGGAATTAAGAGTACTCAAAGGTTGTGATCAAGCTATGGTTGATAGAATGCTTCAAATATTTCAACACAGAGACGGTAATATTGCCTAAATATTTACTTAATGTTGGGTAATAAATCACTATTTATTGTGCCTCGTAGAATGCGCAAGCTTGTGGTCAAAATCGAGCCTGTTCCCCTGGCATAATGGGCTAATACAACCTGCATTTTGTAACATTAGGTTTGGATACTTCTAACACGTTGATGTACAAGCTTAATACTGACGTAAAACTGAAGATGATGAATAAAGGGCTGTGGACCGGTTCCAAATGTTCAGAATAGCAAAGTCTATTATAATATCTGTAAAATAAGCACAACGACGCAACATTTCGTCAATCGTAAAAAAATTGCAATTTGGAAGCCAATTATATGTATATATATATGATATTATTTGAAATCGGTTAGGTACGGGCGCAGGTACCCCAGCCCGAATGTGACACGAATGCTAAAAAATCATTACGTTCACTAAGCGTTCTTAACAGTCTATTGAAGGATATTTACACACGCCAAAGTTTTTGGACACGAAATGAACCTATGAATCGTTTTGCTATTATGTTAAATTAAATTACTGCGCGTGGAAAATAATCACTCTAACAAGCTGAAATTTACAATTTCAGATATCGAGGAATCTATGGAAAGACGAGATATAGCGGCTATTAACGAAAGTATAGCGAGAATAACCGAGAAAGGTTTTGAACCAGATTTGGCATCGGAAATGAAGCAAGCGAGAAAAATACTGAAAGATCTGGCAGCAATGGAGCAGGTTCGTTGGAATAAACAACGGGATATATTATCTACCGCATATTTGTGAATAGCAGTAAAAATGGTAGGCCTCCTCGCGGCCGCAGGGCGTCTCTTTCGAAATAGATAAGAAAATTTCATCACCTTGCTATAGTATACGATGGACAATATTGTACAACAGAACAACACGAAAAATAAACTGACCATCTTTGTGGTTAATGTGATTATTTGTGTATTACCCAAATTACAGGCCCGCAGTAATGTGATGGGGTTGAAACAGAGTAGTGTGGCAGAAATCAAAAGTTATTCTTCACCACCACCTGGCTTACATGAAGTCATGATGTCAGTTTATCTTCTGCTCGGATATCACCCAACACAACTGCAGGTAGGGGACGTTATGTATGATTACTCGCAACCTGTGATTGCGCAATGTGTACATGGCCACAATTTTTAAGTGTATACTTTTCAAATGCAGAGTGTGACTAAGACATGGCCTCTTGTTGTTGCATGTTATTCTTAGGTGCGACATATTGGAATTTTTTTTGAACGTCATCCAAGCTCATTAAAGTTAAACGCGGGTGGAATTGACTAAAATAGTGTACAAATAAGACAAACTATACTGAATACTGAATAGTCTTTTAACACATTAGTGTTACTATCTTTTTATAAAGTGATTTATTGCTTTTCGAACAAGTCACGGGATATTTGGCTACTGTTATATAAATTAGGTATTGTTAAATGTTAGGTATTTTTCTATCTCGTCCGTTTTTCTATTGGGCTGTTTTTTGTTAAATTATTCTGGATATTTCTACAAATCTACCCAATTTTTTGTGTTCCTAATAAGGTTGAACTATGTGACGTTTGAAGCCCCTTTCCTTATTTGTATTAGACTTTGATATCCTAAATGCGCATGCCAATTATATGCCAAGTGGTAAAGTTGGATATCATATCGCATTTGTATACCAGAGTTGGACAGCAATACAGGCACTTATGGGGAAAACAGGTCGAGAAGGACTTCGCCGAAGAATTGGTGACATGGAAGTGTCTAGAATTGATATAATGCATGCACGAATGGCAAAATCGCTTCTTGCTAATTTCGACTTAAATTCCATCAGAGAGCTTAGCGAAGCCCTGGCGGTGTTTTACACATTCGTGAGTTGAACTTATATATATTATTATTGTATTATTGCTTACATTCCCCTAAAATAAGGTAAAAAGATGTTTTCTAAACTGACGAAAATTTGCACTTTCAGAATCTCCCCGAAAAACTTATTTGTGGCGAGACTATATGATTCATGACGTCATACTGGGCCACTTCAATAAATCAGAGAAAACCAAACACATATTTTAAAATTATGTTGTGATCTGATCTGAATTTGCTAAACATTTATGCAAATATCAGCTTTTTAACAAAAAAATCATAAATTTTAGGGCGCTCCCGAAGTATGTGCACCAAGATGGCACACAACCTGAACCCTAATCTGGTACACATACTATGTTCAGTTTGTGCGCCATCTTGGTGCACATACTTCTGGAGCTCAAATTTTAGTATATATAAATATCCCTATATCTCAATAACGGATAATTATTGACGAACGAAGCAAGTTTACTTGTTTTGAAAACAGTCTTGTTTAGCGCAAAAACTTATATTTAATGTCCTATCTGACTTTCAGGCACAATCCGTTATAACAGAAGCTGAAAGACTAACTTCGGATGGAGATCACGATACTGATTCACACTTGTACGAAATTCCATCGTGGTCCACTCCTATATTAGGACGTTAGATATATATTATTAAGCAATTTGTCATTATGCCACTCAAACAAAGTCTGGAATCGTATTACGAATGTGGTACTCACCGACGCGTTTACTCAGCAAACCACACTGAGGCAACGAACTGGAATCTTTCGAAATTATTAGCATTCAATCTGCTTGGGTGATACACGTATATTGCCTGTAACCTAAATTTCTTATTTGTCAAATAAACCGATGTACCATGTTTCGCGAACGCACCATGTAAGATGTATATTATTCCGGTGGTACAGTAACATTACAGCCATGGAAGACCACGATATCTCGTCCACCATACGGGCTATTTTTAGTCAACATTTTACACGCTAATACCGTATTTCCCAGCGAATAAGTCGCTTTTCTAGACCCAAATGTTTTACCTGATTTTTTTTTTGGGGGGGCTTATTATTCAATTTGGACCATAAAATATCTTCCGCGCGATAGCATCCTTATAACGTCCCCATCAGGTCAGTTACGCGCTGTGAATCTGGAATTTCAACGCTGTGAATATCATATTTGAAGTTGCGGCATTTGTGTGTGCATGACACAACTACAGACGGGGCCTGGCCGACTATGATATATGTATAATAATTATTGTAAAGTATATTTATTCATTTTTTTAAATAAGTTTACTCTGTCGGATATTATCGCTGACTTAAGCTTTTTTTCTTACGGTAATATTCTTAAAATAATGAGTGACAGCATTGCGATGGAGCGGAATAAGTGTTGCAGCAACAGCTCAGCTTTTTTAATTTGCAAAAATACGGATCAAAACAACATATAAGTACATGTTTATGTCCACTATTTATATTGTCTCAATCGCAGATTAAATTGATCACTATTAAATTAATGAAGCAACACATTTCGTTTCTGGAGACTTCGAGATGATGAATATATGTATGTTTGATATATATACTTCATATACATATATTTTTTTTATTGCCCTTAATTAAATTGTACTTTCCGGGATTTTTATAATGGCGATAACAAATTCGCAAGAGCGCAAAAATATGTCCACAGATTGCCGTGTTACGTCGAGCACAATTGGATTAAAATTGAAAGACAGTTTGAATTCCCGTAGTTTGTCATGGATTGAGTATTACGCTACAAGAAAAAGTCATTATGGGTTATTTTAACGAATGCGCAAACACCTCGACCGCTCAGGAGCCTTTCGTGGTAATTTGAGATTCCGATTCCGCCCGTCTTATTGGAAGGTTATATGCAAAAATCCATTTTTCCAGGCTTAAAAACGGGCCTTGTCTTATTTACAGAGTAGACTTATTCGCCGGGAAATACGGTATGTCAATTGCCGAAATTCATTTAAATATGGCTGTGCTTATTACGAGGGCCAATTGTTCCGCCTACAATAGACTAATCAATAACGCTTACTTAAAACTAGGAATTCACTTCGAATAGGATTCCATACATTGCTGATGAAAAAAGTGGTATGAATTGAATATATTCGTACAATACTATAGCTGCTATAGTATAGCATATCTCATCATACGAATATATTCGTTGTATCTAAATGACTTGGACTTTCATCCATTTTGGGAAATTGGCGAGGCCAGAAGTCTGCAATGCACTTTAGAAAAATGTGAATTTATTCGTACAATACTATAGCAATCTCATCATACGAATATACTCGTTGTATCTAAATGACTTGGACTTTCATCCATTTTGGAAAATCGGCGAGGCCAGAAGTCTGCAGGGGTGGGCAACATACGGCCCGCGACGAGATCTTGACCGGCCCGCTGACTGTACATTAGTACATTATGATATTACATTATTACACTTTTAGTACATCATGATAAATTCATTATGGTTTTTTTTGGTCTCTATTTTTTTTCTAGTTTAAACTTTACTTTAAACGCGATTTATAATTTTCTTTCTTGCATTAGCGAACAAATATGTGATTAAGATATTGAATACTATTCATGTTATAATCCGGCCCGCCGAGAACTTCATTTTCCTACATCTGACCCGACGACTAGAGAAGTTGCCCACCCTTGGACTAGTCCTAGACGACTAGTTCCAGATTTATGGGTTTATACCGCGGAAAAAATTTACAAGTTTCTTGACTACTAGTCTACTACAAAGATATTTGTTGGAACCATCCAGGGTAAACAATTCTAGACTGTTGTTTTTTAGTGTGGTTTACTTTTCCAAATCATACTAATCAATAACGCTTACTTAAAACTAGGAATTCACTTCGAATAGGATTCCATACATTGCTGATGAAAAAAGTGGTATGAATTGAATATATTCGTACAATACTATAGCTGCTATAGTATAGCATATCTCATCATACGAATATATTCGTTGTATCTAAATGACTTGGACTTTCATCCATTTTGGGAAATTGGCGAGGCCAGAAGTCTGCAATGCACTTTAGAAAAATGTGAATTTATTCGTACAATACTATAGCAATCTCATCATACGAATATACTCGTTGTATCTAAATGACTTGGACTTTCATCCATTTTGGAAAATCGGCGAGGCCAGAAGTCTGCAATACACTTCAGTAAAATGTGAATTTATTCGTACAATACTATAGCATATCTCATCATACGAATATACTCGTATCTAAATGACATGGACTTTCATACGTTTTGGAAAATTGGCGAGGCCAGAAAAGTCTGCAATACACTTCTGTAAAATGTGAATTTCGAATCATCCCGAAAAATCGCCGACTAGACCAGGGGTGGGCAACATACGGCCCGCGACGAGATCTTGACCGGCCCGCTGACTGTACATTAGTACATTATGATATTACATTATTACACTTTTAGTACATCATGATAAATTCATTATGGTTTTTTTTGGTCTCTATTTTTTTTCTAGTTTAAACTTTACTTTAAACGCGATTTATAATTTTCTTTCTTGCATTAGCGAACAAATATGTGATTAAGATATTGAATACTATTCATGTTATAATCCGGCCCGCCGAGAACTTCATTTTCCTACATCTGACCCGACGACTAGAGAAGTTGCCCACCCTTGGACTAGTCCTAGACGACTAGTTCCAGATTTATGGGTTTATACCGCGGAAAAAATTTACAAGTTTCTTGACTACTAGTCTACTACAAAGATATTTGTTGGAACCATCCAGGGTAAACAATTCTAGACTGTTGTTTTTTAGTGTGGTTTACTTTTCCAAATCATACTAATTGGATTATGGGTTGATGAGGGCCTGTATATTGAACAAGGGGTTGCAATTCAACAATAATTTAATGCACAAGTCCAACAATCATCACTTGATCCACACTGATGTACTGAAAAGGACACCAATAGATATTTAGAAATGATCATTTCTGACAGCAGATTTTCATATCCACATAAGCATACAGAAACTCACAGAGATAGGTACCAAAATAAAATGTTGATCTGCAAGTATAATAATTAATGAAGGTGAATCACCAAATCAGTTTTATAGCCAACAACCATGGAAGATAAGAGAATTCAGTTGGCAATACGAGCTCATGAAAAAGAGCTCATGAAAAAATATATCGATTATAATAATCAACTATTAACCTATATTTGATTCACCCTTTATTTTCAATGGCGATAGATAGTACTAAAATCCAACTTACATTGCAGCAAAAATAAGAGAAGTTTAAAATAACAATTTGTTATTTAAAAATGGTAAACATAATGTTAACATGTTATGCGATCCCAATAAAATTTTATCCAATGATACAGTTACTTAAGAATTCAATGTAATTTTGTATTTTTTGTTCAAGAACAGTTCATCAATGAGAAACAGTATAAAATAGTTGAATACTGGAAAAATTTTTCAAGACATTATGAAGAATATTGTTTTTGAAAAAATTGAAATTCAATTCACATCAATTTAAATATCTTTACTATAAATTAGATGATGATAAATCCATAAACAATTAATTTTTGTTTACTTGTGTAGTCAAACACCAACCCGAATTCCAATGAATTCTCCAAGTACTTTACATATTTCTTGTAGATGCGAATTTTTACCTATGATTTTTTCATCCACACTTTATTCTACTTCAAATTTCATTGGTTGAGACAAAACATACTGGGAAGTCGAAGCAATTAACCTTACTCAAGATCTTGAAGAACTTCTATACTGTTAATCCTTAAAATAGTGTGCAGTGAATTAAATTTATATGTTCTTTCAAAACTCTTTCTCCTCATAAATCTTTTAATAATGACATCGATGCTAGGAGTTTTTTCTATGATTGTAGCTTCGACTTTAACAATGTTCCTTTTCAATATTGGCCTCCCGACTAGTGTAAAATCTGCACCACCAACCATTCCAACTTTTTCCAATCGGATACGAGTTCCACAATCAGCTTGAATATATCCAATTGTACTAATAATATCATTAGTAGTAACTTTGTACTGGTGGCCACTGATGAGTACAACAGCAAAAAGTCTACCTGGATCTTTGACAATTTCATTGACTTTTGATATAACTTTGTTGTGTTCATTTTCTGAAATCAAAGTAGGAGGTTCGGGAAATACATATCGATCGTAGTATGAAGGTATGGTTTTCGATGGTGACTCCAGTTCAGATTGTATTTTTTGCTTCACACTTTCCGCATGTATGCTTTTTATTCCAAATTTTGCATTTAAATGAGGTTTTTGGTGGGACATAGGGTATATAGTATTTTGCAAAAATCGATATGTCAATGATATTGTCCGGAAATTAGATTTAAACATTGTATTCAGCAGCATGTCACTTCATAAATTAAATAGGAATATTTGTGTAATCGCACATCATTTGGACCTTTTAAAAAAGCATTATTAATAGTAGATTACCATTGTAATTGACCACTACATTGAAGTTTTGTCAAGTTATAGGCTACCTTAGTGTGATTTGACCTTATCTAAGGTCAGGAAATAAGAAAATCAGTATGTTGCTCACTTAGCTTCTTTAACTGTGACTGATAATATAACAGTACTATAGTTTTGTCAGTTACAGTATCTCATTTTTGACTGCAAGGCCTTCAGTATTTTTCAATGGTACAGATCACATACCGGTAGTTTACAATAATGTTGTCAGCATGGCAGGAGCCATAGCACTGTAATTTCTGGCTTCCTTGTTTCAGTGTTTTGTTACCTCTCCAATTACAGAGTTCTGGAGTTAGGCTTAAGTTTGAAAGACAGATAGAGGGTGACATTGTAGTGAAGTCAGGACCAGAGATTACTGCATTAACATAGAACATGTCATAGAGCTTGCCAAAGGAAAGCTACGGTCGCCCAAAATGGCATCTCCTGTCATAGTGCTTGGCAAATTATAATTACGATCGCCCGAAATGGCATCTGTGCCACCAATAACGAACTCGCTAAAGCCGGCGATCTCTCTCCTATCGTGATCGTTGTGACGAGAAAAATCACTTGCTCGATTTTGGGTGAACGTCTGCGCGTTTTGGACGGCCATCTGCATACTGTGGTGGGCCTTATCACGCCAAAATGACGTAATTTTTCGGTGACGTAATCAGGTGGGGGTTAGGATTGACATATGCAAAAATTGTTGAGCCAGGCCAACTAGAAGAAGAATGTGGTACTAAACTATACCAGACCCGAAATGACGTAACGTTATGCCAAAATGGTTATGCTACGCGGCGCGGCGGTTTATCGTGCTGAGCGTTAAGAATACGCTCGCCACCGCACCTCTGATTACTCTGCGTGGGTTCGCATCCCACGCGGAGATCGTTACGTACAACTGGGACACATAAGTGGAAGACATTTTAACAGAACTATTGCATGCTAGCTATCTCATTTATCAAATATAGTCGCTATGGTACCGGTAATCTCGTATTAGGTTATCGTAACTGTTTTACTTAATAGTAGAAGTAAGAGTAAATTGCATAATTTGATTACAAAGTGTTGAAGTGAGACGCCTTCTTGCCTGAGACCTGAGTAGGTATGTGCGAGAGGATTGCTGGACTACTCGACGCCAAAGAGTGGTTCATACTTCATGTAACCGCTGTCCGCTGGTTGGCCACGGCTTCCTCCACCATCAAGTCCATGCTTCCGAAAACAAATAGGCTACCGGTGCGGTACGACTACCAGACCCATACAAGCATAGGCACCTTTTAGGGAAGCAACTCGGCGGTGTGGCGCACCGTGCTAAGCGGTAGGAATACGCTCGCCACCGCATCGTTGATTACCGATACCGGTACTCTTCGTGGGATCGCAGGTTCGAATCACATGCGGGATGATCATGTGCGAAAGGATTGCTGGGCTCTTCGCCGCCGTAGGGTGGTTCACGTACCGGTACCGTACCGTACGGCTTCCTCCACCATCAAGTCCATGCTTCCGAAAACAAATAACTGGCTAACTAATCCCATACCCGACCTGGACTGGTAACCGGACGAGAGGCCGTGGTTCGCCATATGATTAAGCCGTCTTATTGCCTTTACTTTTTTTTTTTTCATAAATGGATCCACAATGTGGATTATTCAATATGTAAATTATAAATAAATTAAATATAAATAAAGATATAGCCTATTGTGTACCGCAAGTGAACAAACATATATATCAGTAATATCAAGATAATTCCATCATATATACTGGATATAATATTCCATATAATCCAGGGAGTTCCAATAATTCATTTGTTGATTTTGTAATACAAATTACATAGTTCATTTTTAATTATTTAGCATGAAAAAACATAATTTTATAATTATTCACAAGTTATCACAAATCATGGCAAGTTCTTTTATATAACAAAATTCCTTTCTCACTTTTTCTATATTTCTTCTCATTAGAAGTGAGTTCCTAATTTTCATAATAACATTATTTATGCTTGGGTTATGATTTTGAAATATCACAGCGTTACGCTCCAACCAAATTTTATATCTTGCTGTACAAAATAACAATATAATAGCATTACGTTGTATAATGGATAAATTTGTATAACAGTGGTCATTTAAGTCCAATAAAATGCAAGTTTTATAATTATTTTTTTTTCACACAGTTACTCATTTTTAATGCCACAGAAAAGATATAATCATAGACATTCTGAGTAAAAACACAATTCCAAAACAAACATTGCCTTTCCTCTGCCCCGGGATAAATATGTAAATTCTATCCTCTGTTACATGATTTTCAGCGACCTCCTAACACAGGATGCTACCTTGCGACTCTTCTTGCGAGTTTTTGTGTATCAATCGGACGGTTGGGTGGCGCTACGGAGCGGCGATTTTCCACAGCGAAGCGCACACTCTACAGCTGGGGTGTGCAACCTTTTTCGCAGGCGGGCCAAATATCAATAACTGAGTAAAATCGCGGGCCGCACCTTCATTCAACATAGACTTTATATTAGTTGCAGGCACAAAATAGATTCTTTTTATTATTGATCTCATGTCGTCATCATAAGGGGTCCTTGCAGAAAACGCATAAATGTCTTAAAACTGTATTCCAAATATATTGTCACACCCAATTTAAACGAATTTGGGGAGAAATTTGCTGCTGGATTCTTTTCCCGACTACTTTTATCCAAATTTGTTTGAATGGAAATGCTAGCAATTTGATATGACCCCCATTTTAGAAAAAAGATGTAACCGAAAAGTGTCATATTTAAAGCCATGACTTTTTTCAAATGTGGAAAGTTATCTTAGTTGAGATGTTTTCGGTATAATACGCCAAGATTCATTTCCAAATACTTTGCTGTCAAATCTTATTCTAGATTAGATTTCAACAAAATCAACTAATAGGCTAGAACCAAAACTCATTCAGCTTTTGTATCTCTTAATATTACATTTTTTCAAACTGCTTTCCAGTTGCTTAATCTTCAATTGTCCGTTCTTACAAATTCATTAGCGTCTACTCCGCATTTTTCTTTCAATTGTTCGCTGCTCGGCAAGTGACAGCTTCCTTGTGAATCGCGTTGTTCGCTTCGCTGTGAGGACGTTGTAACGTCATAGGCATAGATAATAAATTGGACTCGAATATAAGCTTTGCAACGCAAAGGAAACCAGATCAAACTAAATTAAAAACAAATTTAGCTTGCCGCACACCATTCAAAATTGGCACTCCTCCGCGGGCCGCACAGTTTGTCATCACGGGCCGAATTCGGCCCGCGGGCCGCACTTTGCACACCCCTGCTCTACAGTATTTCTATTTATATGTATATAAGCCTATGGACCTTTCCACGAGTATCGACTTTCTCGTTTACTTCGTGACACTGGCCAATCAGCAAGATGCAAAAGTGACGTAACAATGCTCCCTTTTTGCATCCGCTCAGACACTTTTCTCACTCAGACAGATTTTCAAGCGTGGTCGTAAACGTTACCTCGTTTTCGCGTTTTTGAACTCTATTCGTTAGTTTTCTGTTGTGTTTCGGAAACTTAAATAGGAATCAGATAATTCAATGACGACTTTGTCCTCCTAGGAGTTTTAATTTAATTGCAGTAATAAAAAATTAGTGTAGAAATAGCTGTGATAGACTAGGCTAAAATTCTTTTCCGGTACTTAAAAAAACAGATTGTTGTATGCGATGAATCATAATGATGGTTCGAAACACATACCCCATTTTACAGGCGCCAACTCGCAAAAGCACTCGAAAATTTTGCAATGATATAGGAAGAATTTTTCGGGGATCAATAGTCGGGGAAAGGTCCATAGGCAGGGCTCCCATATCGTGCTTATTTCTAAGATTTGTGCTTTTTTCTAGACCGCGTCTTATAAAGTAGCGATGTGCTTATGACTCGTTCTTGTTTTGCGTACAAAGCTTCCGTGGAAACGAGGGGCGAACTTTTTCTGTTAACGGTGGGGTAGGCGGTATTTCCAGGCAAGCTGTGACACAGTGACGATAGCTGCTGCTAGTTTTTAAAGATACTGTTTTTAGGGACAAACCGCAGTTTATAAAATGAGTAAGCGTAAGCATAAGTTCTGTTTCGAATATGAAGAGGAATTTGCTAATAATAATAATATTTACTGCTATTGCGACAAAATACAGTAGGGCAATTCCACGGAACTAGGGACAAACTTGAAAAAAATAAAAGTGTCCAATCCCAAACAAACAACCCATATTATCATGAAATATATCTTGGAGTTTTGTTAACTTAATTTATTTCACAACTATATTCGATAATAAAAAAAATGAAGCTTGTTGAAAGTAGGTGGGGCATTGACCTCAATTTCTAGCTTTTTGAGCCATTGGCACAAAACTTAAGTTTTAACCTAAATAATTCAAACACATTTTTTACGGTTTGTAAAAAAATACTGAAATTCATTTTTTGCCAATATACCATCATCCTATGTACACACACACAGCCAATATGTGTGCATTTTAACTTACTATGATTGTATATATTAATTAATATTCAATGTCAAATTTTGTAACGCAAGTAACAATTGTAACGTAAGTAACAAAATCTTATAAATCAGACTCTAGTAATCAAAAAGATATAATATATGGAAAATTATGGTTTTAACATAAGTTATAAATAGATAGTTTATTTTGAATTATTATTTATATATTTCCTTATAGTTAATTTCAGAGAATACCTAATTTTTGGCACATCACTTAAACAAGTTAGAAGAAATAGGTTGCCACTGGCCACAATAAAATGCATGATATCTGGCAATCCTAAATTGTAGATTAGGCTTGCACGTAATTTACGGAATTATTTCGAGTTACGGAAGCGAAGTTACGAATTACGTAAAGTCGTAATTATTGGTCGAGCGCTTTGGCAATTGAAACGAGCTCTTTTCAGAGCAGTCAATTCCGTCGATTGTAAAAAATTAAAGTTTAATAAGTAGAAGAAGTTGGAGTTCCGGTATTCGCAGCCGTTTTTCTCTCTCTTGTCACGCAGGTGGGGAAGGCATAACGCGTTGCCATTTACTAATCTATTATCAACTTATCTAGCATGGCCAATGTACATATTAACCGTAGATAATGCCGTGATAATTAATGTCGCGCTTATCAAACAGCAATATGACGACGGAAGAGAAATTGCGTAATGAACCAACGCAACTTAGTCTTTTCGGCATCGGTAAAGCGATTGAGCCGGCAGAGAGACGACGGGATTTCCCGTGTTTATTCTGCGCGAGAACCATTTTCTATTACAGAATCTTGATGTTCTGTTACCGGTTTTATCGTTAAATATCTCTCCAGACATGGCCTTGCTCAATATGTTTTTCACAATGCCTCGCAACATTTCGGCCAAATATGATTAAATGTCTTTACCAAATGCGGCAACTTATTTTGATTCATCATCGTCTCGAATACCGCCAGCATTCGACCAAACTTGTGTCAATCTTGGCCGATAGGATTGTCGACTTGAGTTAGAAAAATAAATTAATATTTTCGTGAGTGCAAAATAAATGTCACAAAATGCATTGTTTTGCGATATAACTTTGTATTTCCGGAGAAGGCATGTCATATAAGTACGGTATTTAAATTATGCGCAAATAATTAGTATTTGATCTGAATTATCGCAAATAATGTTATAATATTTAGGCCGCGAAATGATTTAATGTAAAATGAAGCATGGTAATCGGAATATCGTCAATAACTCGGCATCAATAATTATTATAAAATGCTAACTAAGTAGTAAAGTCGGATATTGCATAAAAACGGTGAAATAACAAGTCTGATTAATAAATTAGAAACCCGAAATTTTTATTTAATACGAAAGTCCTATTAATACGCTAATACGATTTTAAAAAAGTCAACTATCGTTTCATAAATATCCGTATACCAGTGTCGGTAATGATAAAATTGATCGCATAAAATTGGGTGATAAATGTGATAAAGGAAAATCAAAGCTAACACAAAAGATAAAAATCAGAATAAAATTAATTTGAATTCACTCCTTGATATTTGTCTTTAACACCTGTCGCCGGCGTGTAGTACTGCCGGGAATATGAAAACCAAACTTCGATGTCCCATTCGGAATAGAAGTGGATTCAATTGGTTGTTATGATAGGTTTAACTGCGTGAAAAAAATATCGAAATTACGGGGTCATTACGTAATCGATTTGGCCGTAATTACGGAATTGATTTTTGTCAATTACGTGCAAGCCTATTGTAGATATTATTTGTATATTGTGGTGGTGGAAACCTTACCGGTACACAAAGACCATTACCAGGTACATTACCCTGCACTTTTTGGCTATTTTAGATGTTTTTATCCCATTTATTGCAGTAAATTATATAGTCTAGAATCTAGATTCAGCTGTTGGGAGTTAGTCA